AAATTCAACTCTATTCTCATTCGTATACAACTTTCATAACCTGGTAAGTTTGATATGTTTGTGGTTAACTTCACTAATTTTTCATTTTCCTGATCAGGTACAAGTTGGAAATGGGGCACCAACTCCACCATCACCACCAAGCCGTGGATGGTCTCGTGAACTTGTTTACCAAGGCCAACAACGACCTCATTATAGTCCAAAACCGCCTAGAGAAGGAGTTTCGAGAAACCTGATATCCCCCCCCCCCCCCCCCCCCCCCCCCCCCCCCTCCCTATTTGCTAATGCTATTTGTTGTTTTGAAACGATTTAATTGTATAATTACTCTTATTGAAATTTCAATTTCTGCAGGCAAATCCCATGAAGCTTGTGTCTAGGATCAAGAAGATCCAAGAAGAATTGCCCTCCCTAAAAGAACAATGCCGTGAGTTACTCTCAGCCAAGCAGGTTAGCTGAAAAACAAATCTAGCTGAGTTTCTGGTTTATTAAGATCATGAGATATACAATTTCTGTTGATTGTGATGTAGGACTTAATTGATAAAGCAAGGACAACTATAGTTGGGAACAGAGCATCATTGCAGAGGTTGCAATCTTCCATGGGCATCCCTGTCACTAGTGATTCCGATGATCCTTCGTTTACAAATTTTAATCAGGTGATTTGATGTCTAAATTTTCTTTATTTCAAGGCATAGATACATTTCAGTTATGAACAAAATGTAAAATAGTTGCGAAATTTTTAACTATCCAGTTTACTCCTCTGTGCATAGTTATTTTATGACCTTGTCCCTAAAAGCAAAGAAGGAAATAAGAAGATTGTTATCTGTATTAAGTTTCCATGGTTGTGAGTTTTCCAAATGGTGCTTATAGATTCTACACCATTTGCCAGTGAACAACCTATATTTATGATGGCAAGATATCCCATGACTGGCTGCAAAATAGTGATGGTAAATTTTTAGGTGGATTTAGTTCTTATTTTTTTTCCCCTATATTCTCAAAACCAAAAGTTGCTAGTAAAAATTATGTTTTTTAATGAAAATACTTAAAAGTCCATCTAAAATCTTCCCAACCTGTTATGCTTATGTGTGGTTGGTCATTGGGGCTTATGCTCTATTTTCATACCTTGCTACATTTCTCTCATTTATATTCTTTTGAGGATCTTGAACTGTGTTCTCCCATGGAGTATTATGACATTGTACTTTGAAAAATCTACCTAATAGGAAAAATGGAAGTAGGATGCTATTGTAAACAAATCAATGAAAGTACATTGCTATTTCTTGCATTGAACCTTTTATTTACACTTATTATATACTTAATGTGATAAACAGGTTATTGATGAATGGGCAGTACAAGTGAGATCTAGAACAGGTAATGATCTATATGCTCAGATGAAGTTAAATTCATATCTTGCTCCTTTCAATCCAAAACAAGAGCTACTGGTTTTAACTTCAAATGTGAAAAGTTTTTTTTTTTGGTGATTGTCCTGTGAAATTGCAATCTTCCCTGATATATGTTACAAGTATTGCAGGAGATGAGGGACATGAAGGTTCTGAGGATATTAACAAGATGCTATTCTCAGCAATTGTTCAAGGTAACTAAACCACTGATCATGATTTATGAACTTGTGTTTTAGGTCGAGTCCAAATGGATGATAATTAGAAAGTTTGTTAAAAGCATTGCTTCAAGCTCTTTAACAATATGTGTTTGAGTTATGTAAACTAAAAGAGGACTACTCACCCAACAAAATCTAGAAATGATGATGCATGGGTTTGTATATAACTAGCGAGAGTTCTGAATTCTTTCCTTGAAACATTGAATGAAGATCTATGAAGCTTGATATATGATCAGAGTTTTTGAGAAAAAGACAAACAACTAAGCTTTTACCAAGATTTAAGCTTACTTCAAGGGTTTTTAATAAATAACCATCAATTTTGCACATCTTGCCTGTTAAATTGGCATGGTATACCTGTGTAATCACAATCACCATAAAATAACAATGTCGGAAAAAACTTTTTCTAAAGCTTTTTGTGTAATGAATTTTCAAAAACCATTTTCATAGTAAAAAAACGAGCTTTATGTTGCTAAAAAAAATAGTAGATTGAGATATTTTACCAAAAAAATATGAAGTAAAAATGAATGAAAAAAAATGCATTATATATAGGTGATCAATAAGGGGTAGACTAGGTTCATTCTCCAGCCCATATAGTCATTTCGCATAAAATACCTGCGAAATTCATGTCTAATTCTAAAAAACCTTAATATTTCACCTATTTCTTAAAAAAAAAAAACTGGTGGATTAGATTAATTAAAGCCTAAAGCCTGCATAGTGTACTTCGTAATTGTTTTATCCCTAAAATTAAGTTTACATACAAAGTAAATTAGTTTTAAACACGTCATGGAATATGCCATAATTTTATTTTAAAGATTGATAAAATATAGAGTAAATAAAAAGTTATAATCAAGATGCAAAATTATGTTAGACCTTCTGGAATACCAACGATGAAGGGGCTCGTGGTCTACGTGACCACAAACGATGTCCGTGCACACCATCCCGATCGTTCGTGGTCGGGCGTTTTCGTGGTCCTCCGTGTTGCCTTCGATGATTGATCATGACAATTCAAACCCATTTCTTCTTTTTTAGCCGCGGTCAAAAAATTGAATTTATTATTTTTTTTTAAAACATATAAACCTTATACATTTACAAAAATATTTTTACATTCAAACAATATACTCTCTTAGAAAAACATATTTATGGATTTCTTTAAGAATTTCGATTTTGATGACGACTGGGAATTCATCTCGACGTTCGTCAATGTTGTGCAACACATACACAATAAAGAAAGTTCGTATGATAATTGTCTTTTATAATGATAACTCGTTTACGCGTCATTTCCGTCTAAATAAGGTTGTATTTTTACGTATTAGTAATGTTTTAGAGGCCCCTTATGATTATTTTAAACAAAAACTCGATGTTAAATGAAAAATTAGTTTTAGTACTATACAAAAATGTGTGGTTGCTCTTAGATATTTAGGATAAGGTATACCATTTGATACATTCGATGGGTATTTGAAAGTATCCGAAATGATTGCAATTGATTGTGTAGATTGGTTTTGCGTATATGTGTATGAGGTTTTTCACTAGGAATATTTGTATAAACCTACTGCAATTGATATTCAGAGATTATATTTGGCTCATGAAGAGAGGCATGGATTTCCGAGAATGATTGGTAGCCTTGATTGTACGCATGTCGCGTGGGAAAAATGTCCAAATGCGTGGCGCAGTTAGTTTACTCGAGGTGATATAGGTGAGACAAGTATAATACTAGAAGTTGTTGCATCTCAGAATTTGTGGATATGACATTCGTTCTTTGGAGTAGCGAGATCTAACAACGACATTAATGTTCTTTGCCAGTCCCCTATTTTCAACGATATTTGGACCGGTAAAGCGTCTGATATGTCGTTCATGGTGAACGGGCATTCGTACAAATATCGTTACTACCTTTGTGATGAGATATACCCTGATTATTCTACATTCATGAAAGCATACTCGGTTCAGCGAAGTGAAAAAACAAAGTTGTTCACAAAAAAACAGGAATCAACTAGGAAGGATATTGAAAGGGCATTTGAAGTCCTCAAACAGACATGACATGTAATGAAATACGCTACACGACTCTGAGATAAGGATATAATTAAAAAAATGGTAAATGCATGTATTATAATGCAAAATATGCTTATTGAAAATGAAGGTAGAGCGATCTGCATGTATGATCCAGACGACGTAGTTATCCCAATTGAAGAGTTTGTACATGGTACGACTAAATTTTTAGCAAGAATTGTTGAAATTCATAACAGTGATATGTGTTTCAATCTTCGAGAAGATGTCGCGGAACATTTGTACCAACAAAACATGACATAATATTAGGTTTTTTTTTTTTTTTTTTATGTTTTGAATTTTTATGTTTGTTTGTTTTCTTTTTTATTCTAGCTTTTTTTAAGTAATGTAGTTTTTTAAATTAATGTAATGTTTTTTTAATTGAATGAAAAAATAGTTAAAAAAATTATGGTTTTATTGTATTTTTGAATAAAAAAAATAAAAAAAAAATGATATGTAATGAAGTGTTATATTTTAGTGGTTGAATGTGATGATATGACACCCATCATTTTATTTTAGTAATTAGTTGTGGATATTGTGGATGAACTTAAAATAAACTTCTAATATAGTTATGATATTATTTTTGAAAGATTTAAAAATTAAGCCAATTCATAACGAAGCTTAAATAATAATTAAAAAAAAACTAGGGGAGAATTTCATATATGCCACTCTTAAACTTCAAAATATCATATTTGCCCAGCTTAATTTCTTAATATCATATTTATCCTTCATAAACCTTCAAAATATCATATTTGCCCAAATCCTTTTTTATAATGTTTTTAATATTTTATAATCATTTTTTATACCTTAGAATTGTTATAAAAATTAAAAATTGTTGGAATGTCGCCCTCTTGACAAACAAAAAGATTCATCTTCAACCCTCTCTATGAAATTTATATTTTGATTGTTTTGTTTTGTTGTTGTTGATTATTATCATGTTGTAGATAGAGGATATTTTAGATATTACCATTGATATTTTGATGTTTAAAAAGTACATATACGATATTTTGATATTTAAGAAGGGCCTATATGATATTTTGATGTTTAAAAAGGACATATATGATTTTTTGAAATTTTATGAAGGGTAAATATGATATTTAGAAATTTTATGAGGGGTAAATATGATATTTAGAAATTAAGTTGGGTAAATATGATATTTTGATGTTTAAGAAGGGCATATATGAAATTCTAAAAAAAAAAAAAAAAGGACAATTTACATTAACGTGCGACAAATTTGAAGGAAACTAACTTCCTTAAACTCAAACTGTTAAACATCAACAATCTTGTATTCTTCAATACTGAATAAAGAAAAAAACCTCAAGTAATTGCAGGAATGCTAATGATGGAAAACTAATCACTGGCCGGCGGCAGATGATTGAATCCTATCGACAGAAACCCAAAACGGTCCGCAGGCTCGGGTAGCCAGCTCCGGATAACCTTCTGCAACAAGCATATCCCCCAATAGGCCCGTCGGCGACTGAGAGTAGTCGGAGTTCGAAGGCGGCAGTGGGCGGAGATGAAAATTCAGATAGAAGACATGATTGTCGCTTGACTGCTGCCGGGTTCTTAATTGCATATAATAACGATTCGGCTGTTGCACCGGGAAGACATGGCGGCAGAGGGGGCAGGTGTTGTTTATTGAGAACCATGGGAGGATACACTTACGGTGGAAGAGGTGGTGGCAGTTTGGTAGCCGGACAAGCTTATCTTGGCAGATGAAATCGTCCGTGCAGATGGCACAGGTGGTGGTCGGAAGTGCTTTTAGAAGGGAACAGCGTGCGATGATTTTCGGTAAACGACGGATGAAGTCGGTGGAGGCTGGCGACATATTGGTTCTGATTTATGTAATATTCCCAAGTTTACTTGGACAGAGCGCGATGGTTTCTCGTGAGGCTTGAGACTTGCACTTTGGAAGATGGAGAACGATTATTTATGTGGCGAAAGTTGGAGGATTAAAAAGGAAAGCAACAAGGTAGATTTATACTAAATTTATGTGTATAGATTATAGATATCACTATTCACAGATGTATAGTTGGAAAACAATTCCTAAAATATTTTCAATAACAACAAGAAGAAAATATTGTTATCTACCGTGTCATCAAGTATCAGTTACCTTAATTCTATATCTAATTTTAAAATCATATCTACTCTAATAAATGAATGTTTTTTTTGCCACATGTCACACTCTCATTTAATTTGTCAAATGTTATTTTGTGGTTATTTTGAATTAATTTATTTTCCACATTTTATGAGTTTTTCTATTTTAATAAATTTCATATAATACTTTAATGTAATAATTACAATAAATATAGTAATAAACTAGAAAGGTTACCCCCGCTACGCGGGGGCCAGAAGCTTTCAATGTTGTTTCCGAATCGATAAATATGACAGACGTAGAAAGTGCAAGGATGACAAGCCCGTGCTTTGCCCCGGACCGTTTTGTTCATGTTTTTATGAAAAAATGTAAAAGTTTTGACTGCAAGGACTAGAAGTGTCAAAATGGCTAAAGAATTAAAGCGGTAGAAATTAGCAAGTTTTTAGAAAAGTGATCAAAGTTGTCGAACCGTTAAAGTTTTGTGGCCAAACTTTAAATATTAAAAGGTTCCTAAATAGAAAAGGGATCAAAGTTGTCAAAACGTTAAAGTTTTGTGGCCAAACTTTAAATATTAAAAGGTTCCTAAAAAATGTAAAAATATCGATTACAAGGACCAAAAGTGTCAAAATGGCTAAAAAATGAGGACCAAAGTTGTCAAACCGTTAAAGTTTTGTGGCCAAACTTTAAATATTAAAAGGTTCCTAAATAGAAAAGGGATCAAAGTTGTCAAACCGTTAAAGTTTTGTGGCCAAACTTTAAATATTAAAAGGTTCCTAAAAAATGTAAAAATATCGATTACAATAACCAAAAGTGTCAAAATGGCTAAAAAATGAGGACCAAAGTTGCCAAAGTACAGGGACCAATTCTGCCAAAAAAACAACATAAAGTTCAGGGACTAAAATAGACAAAAATTGTGGAAGTATTCATAAGAAACAATTTCCATAATATATATATATATATATATATATATATATATATATATATATATATATATATATATATATAACTAATGTCAAAATGGCTAAAAAATCAGGACCAAAGTTGCCAAAGTACAGGGACCAATTCTGCCAAAAAAAACAACATAAAGTCCAGGGACTAAAATAGACAAAAATTGTGGAAGTTCACTATTCATAAGAAACAATTTCCATAAAGTCCAGGGACTAAAATAGACAAAAATTATGGAAGTTCACTATTCATAAGAAATAATTTCCATAATATATATATAATAATGAATATAATTTTTTTAATGAATTTACCTTTTTATTTCAAAATAATCAAATTAAAGCTCATTAGATTTTGCTTATTTATTTAAATTTAAAAGATAAAAAAAATCAATTTTAATAATTTATTATTTTTCTTATTTTCTTATAAATCTAAAGTTCTTAAATATTTAGACATTTATATTTAATTTTTTTAATTAACTCATGTAATATATAAGTCTTACACCTAGTAGTATAATACAACACACCAAACAATTTAACTTATGGTTAACTAATAATAACCCATGAAAACTCTTTGAAAAATTTAATCACACTATTATCACTAATACATCCAACTAAATTAAGGCCCACATGGAAATAATAACTAATAATAATTTTCTTATGATTTGGTAAGTTTGTCTTTGATAATCATATGGTAAATAATAACTAAAAAAACCATCGGATTTTTTTTTCAAAGAAAAACAATCTTTTCATGAACCACAATTGCATTATGTTGGTGATAATATTAGGGAATATGTTCGTAATACATTCTCATGACCTAAAATGAATAGTAATATCGAAGTGACCTTTAATGTTGAATCTGAAAAAATGATGTCAAATTTAAGAGACATAAAATTATATTTTTTTTATTTGTAATCTTGTAGAACGTCTTTAATCTTAACTTATCCAAATCATCAAAGTGATAAATCTTAACTTATCCAAATCATCAAAGTGATAAAATTAGACTATTATATATCAAAATTGGACCATACCAACTTAAAAAATCAAAGTATCTTTTTGTTCCTAGTTGTTCTAACGGTTGTATGCATAGTTTTCAACAACTTTGTTTTATGATGATCATGAATCGATGCTTATGGTTTTCTGAAGACGATACTACAAAGATCATTGTAGTTTCTATTTAGACGATTTTTCTCGGTCAACTTATCTTTCAATGTGTAGACTATTATGTTATTTGGATATAAAATAATTTTTTATTATCTTATTATGAGGTAAGCCTCATCTATTATTGAATCATAGTTCCTCCCAACAATAAAGAATAGAGAAGTTCCAAGAAGTAACCCACACATTTGGTGTTTTTATGGAGTAATCAAGGTTCCTTCGGTGTTGATGAGGAATGAGGTGTCATCAAGCTAGTTTGGAATCAAAGTTTTACTTGCTCTTGTTGTGGTTTGAACCCTAGAAACTTAGAAAATTTGTCTTGTGATGCGTACATAGGATGGGGATGAGCATGAGAGGGAATTGGTACCGAGTCGGGGAACAGGTTCCGAATACCAAATTGGGTGGAAAGTTGATACCGAACACCGAACCGAACTAACATTACAGGTATCGGTACCGGGAATGGTACCGATTTTCGGTACTAGCACCGATACTGACAATATCTAATCCCGAATTTCATGATTTTAGAGTACTGTCTCATATTAACATAAACAATGTCGGGTCGGTATTGATTCAGATTGGAAATTTTGATACTCTTGCTAACCCATATTTTAAGATAAATTCATATTGTTTCTAACTTTTAAAGGCTTTAAGATAAATTCATATTGCTTTTAACTTTTAAAGGCTTTAAGATAAATTCATATTAACATAAACAATGTCGGGTCGGTACTGATTCAAATTGGAAATTTTAAAGGTTTTATGATTATTGGAAGTAGTGGAGGGAGACCCACCAAAGCACGAAAACCATGATCTTTCAGAAAATGGATTCATATTCGAAGAGTGCATAACCGCATGGATAACATTAACCCGACAATTTGATATCCAATTCTAGATTTTTCTTGAGAGGTATCGGGAAGGACCTAAAGTGTAAATACTTTTTGTTAAATATTGCGCTGAAATTTGAAATTATATTATTCAATAATTGATAAAATTTGTCATGAAAATATTGGGTTGTCACCATCTAATTTTGGAAGTTCAGATCGTGCTAATTATAAAGTTTTGCAAATTTATCGATTTAGCCATTGGAACATGTTATAACATGTTCTTATCGGTCTACATGGCATGCTACACAAATAATTTCTTATCATGTTCATCGACATAATTTCTCGCCATATCTTGTTCCCACTAAAACTCACATTATCAGACAAGGGCTCCAAATCATGATTGTCGTTCTGGTCAATAGGTTCAAAAACAAAAGGCAATCATAAATGGAATTCATTACGTGGATGTATATAATAACGATGCAATGTCTAAAGGGAGTTGGGAAGGGTGTAGAAGCATATCAAGAGGCGGAGGGCGGTGGGGAATTTAGATGGGTGAGCCAGAAAAGACGAGAAGAAATATGGAAGGAGATCAGCCACAAAAAGGGGGGTCATTGTTTTGGAAATTGCTTACTATATTTGATTGATTCATACCTGCAACCACCTACAACTAGTGTCATACCCGTCCGATGGACAGGTTGAGAAATTGATAATTAGTATATTAATTTATATTAATCTTATTGCATATTACTTTCATTCATTTATATATTAGTTCAGATAAAATTACCCACAACGACAAACAAAGTTAGATCTTTTGGAAAAACGTAGTAAGATCAGTTGGCATATGGTATCCGAACAATAATGTGTTTCACCATAAGGAAAAAAAAAAACATGAATGTACCATGTCATTCCATACATTTAAAATAATTGAATGATAAATATGTCTAAAAGCTATTATAAAAAGCTTAATCTACCTAATAATTTAAATTAACCTATAAAAAAACTAAGGAATACGATGAAATGAAAACTGAAATTTGAAAATTGGAAGAGGAATACAATCTATAAAACAATGTTAAAAAACTTCAAAAGTAAATTCAATTCAACTAACAATATCATCTTCCGAAGACTCCTCACACAATCGTGGAAGTCGACGCTTCATTGGTGTTATTGAGGATCCGATAAACGATTTTTCAGAAGAATCAGTGTCAATAACAGCATAAGCATCCTAATTGTAAAAAAAATAATAATAAGAATAATAACTAACAAAGTAATGTATCAAATGAGGTGTCAATAATCGTTGAAATTTTGTACACAATACATTGTAACTTACTTCACTTTCTCCACATTCTTGTAAACCACATATGGAGATAGGTGTCTTAAAAATATCATCTACAATAGTATCATCACCAACCTAATTGAATAGATCAATGAGAACAATAAAAAAAAACTTCAAATATATCAAATGAGGTGACAAAAATGGTTGAAATTTTGTTCCATATCGTAATGAAAATAGAAACTGTACACAATATGTTGTAACTTACTTCACTTTGTCCACCATCTTATAAACCACATATGGAGATACGTGTCTTAGAAACATCATCTTCAATAGTATCATCACCAACCTAATTGAATAGATCAATAAGAACAATAAGAAAACTTCAAACCTAAAAGAAAAAATACAACAATAGTATAAAAAAAATATAATAATACATTGTCACATCTGTCACTATCTTCCACATCCTTTTCCTGAGATACACATTTTGTAACACCATCATTTTCATTACTATAAGAAGCAACCTAATTATAAGAAAATGACATAAGTAAAACGATATGACAAAACATATGTTACAACTTACATTATTAAATATATTTCACATGTCTAACCTCATACTACCAGGTGCCACAGTAGTATCATCTTTCATATTACCAGAAGCATCCTAGTAAGAAAAAATAAAAGATAAATAATAAGCATAACAAATAATGTAATTGAACTAAATATACAACAATTTAAACTGAATGGAAAGAAAACATGGTATGAATTAATTATTGCACTCAATATTATTTACCTTATAAATGAGCTTGTCAGAAACATCAACCTGATGATTATCACAAATGACCTAATAATTGTGCAAGTGAAATACATACAGAAACATAAGATATAACGAATATAACTTATATTTATAATTTATAGTAAATAATACAATAAACAGTACCGTTACTGTTGATGTTGCTGATTTAGGTGATACTGATTCAACAACATTTGTATGAATTGGAAATAAACCAACATCATCCTAAGTATGCACACAAAGAAAACAATAACAAAGTAACAATTGAAGAATTTCAATATGTTAGAGAATTAAAATTGGTAAACAAAACATTATAACTTACATCTTTATATTCCGTATGATTTAATTCTGAAATAGAAGCACTGAAACCCTCATCTTTGACATTACGTAAGTCATCCTAATACAAAAAAAATATGAATAATGAACAGATTAAATTAAGATAATTTAAGAAAATATGTAGTAAAAATCATTTAATGAAACGAAACATGATCCGTACCATAATTTCTAAATTTAACATTATTTACATGAGAATTGCACTTATAAAAAACACAAACTCCTTGATAAGCAAACCAAAAAACAAAAAAATACATTATGTAAAATAATATATAAACAATACAATAAAAAATGTATAATGTAAGATCCAATAAACTTTACCGTTGATGCAGATGATGGAGACAACAATGATTCGACAACAGTTGTTTGCAACTGAGAAATGACCTCATTTCTAGGCAAGGTCTTTTCTTGGTTTGGAATTTTACAAGTTGCACCGTGGTATTTAGTAACCGTGAAACGACGCACATATTGTGGTGCAAAATTGTAATGGTCTATCTTAATTGAAAAAACAATACTTAGACCACATAACCTTTCAAACAGGAAAGTACGTACCCAATTAGGATCATTACCACCCTATAAAAACATAATAAAATAGTATTATATGTAAGCATTTGTGTGGGTGTTTCAATATATATATATATATATATATATATATATATATATATATATATATATATATATATAGAACAGTACCTCCAATAAATGAATTAACTAATTCACCAACAGTAAGGCGAGTAAGCTGAGTAGCATATTCATTAAACAAAACACATCTCATCTCCTTATCCTTATCAGCTACTTCAACTACCAACTTATACCTAAACAAAAGTTATTAGAAACATCATATAAGTATTAATATATATATATATATATATATATATATATATATATATATATATATATATATATATATGTATATATAAACATACACTTGACGCGGGTTAATTATATTTTTCTGACAGCCAGAACAAAAGTAGCGATTATCATTGAAAGTAGCCTTCTTATAGCATCTTGAACACTGGATGAACTTCCAATCATTAAACATATATATGTCAATGTTGGTTCCAACAACAATGTACTGTGTACCCTTCATAAATGAAATATAGATATAATTAATTACATATTTACTATAACAATTGGTATTTCATAGTAATAAGGTACTACCTCAATGATGCCTTTTTGTATATCACTATACATATTTGCTATGGTTGCCACAGAAGGACATTCAACTTGCCTCTCCGATTGAAGCAAGACATGCATCACTTGACTATAATCCGACAACATAAAAAAGTAAGGTAAATTGATAAATGTCTTAAATTAAATTAACAAATAATAAATATAATAACACAGTTACTTTGATTTGTATGTAGCAACAATGTCTATTGGAAGATTAAAATACAATTCAGATCCAACTGTAGTTCTCAAACTTGGAACACCTACAATAGTAACAAATATGAGAAACTAATATATATATATATATATATATATATATATATATATATATATATATATATATATATTACACGTAAACATAATTAACGTGTTATTTATAAAAAAGAAAAAGAAATCACACCTCTAAACAATACAACCTTGCAAGACGTTACAATGAGTACAATTTTCATCTCCTTAAAACTTTTTATATGTTCATCGGTGTACTTCTTGGCCAACTTACCCCACAAGGTTATACTCACTTTCATATCACTGTAGCAAATAAAATTAGTAATAAGCATCAACCAATGTTATAACATATTAAATTAAATTATCGCAATTATATATATATATATATATATATATATATATATATATATATATATATATATATATGTCACACCCCGAAACCAGAATGGCGGAAACGTTCCGGGGTAGAGGACGTCATGCGTAGTATCACAACAATTGTATAGCAAGCATAGTAAACACAACCAAACATTGAATACAAATATGAAAAAGTGTTCACATCAGTTTAAAACTTGTTTTAGGTACATCAAAAGTATGTAATCATATAAAAATATAACTCTTATTGCTCCGGCTCCTCAAAATCCAGCAGGTACCTGTCTACTGATTCCCTGAGAATACAAGCGGTTTGAAAGAATATCAGCATAAAGCTGGTGAGTTCATAAGCATTTAGTTTTGGTGAAAAATGTTCCTTCGAAATCCTTTTGAAAAGTGTTCTTTAAGAAAATCCCATATTTTCTTACGAAAAGTAGTGTTGAAAGAGTATCTAGCGGTAGAAAGTAAACCATCAGTTTTAGAAATGCTAGTGTTATCCTGGGAAAATCCTATATTTTCCCTAAAACAGGTTATCTGTACTAGAGGTAGAGATGCCAGTCTAGAGATCCCTGATTACTATTAGTATATATAAAAGTAGTTTTTTTACTCAAAATAAAACAAATGAAGATTAGAGTCCGTAGACCAAAAATAGTTTATACTTGTTTTGTGAGTCGTATAACCATACTTGATATGACCGAGAGACCTTTAGAACGTTCTTCAGGCGTTAAGCTAAATGACATTTGTTCACCCCAGGCGTGCCCGCCTAACTGTAGCTAGCAGTTCAGGTGTGGGATTGTCAGTCCCGAATAGATCTATTCACAAATCTCACGCTCTCCCTCCAGGAGACTCTGGTTATACTATGATAGGATTTAGTTCCGTACACTAAAGGGTACAATATTGAAGAAGAGCCTCACAATTCTGTATAATCTAGTGTACTAGCGAGAAACAGTATAAACAATAATTAACCTTGAATAATAGTACTTTATACTCCTGAGAAAATATATAACATAAACTAAATCTGCCATAGTTTATACATATTTATTCATGAAATCTGATTTGGTGAAAACTGCCTAGAGGGTTATCCCAAACTATACCCATTATAGTTTAATAGAATTGATATGAAAATGCTTTGTAAAATCCTTTCTGAAAGCTATGAAATTAGATTTCCAATATAACAATTTCCCTTATGCTCGACATATTACAAAAGGGATAAAATATCCGAATAAGTTATTAAACATGGAAATCATTGAGTTGTATTAATAAGTTTAAAACTTAATAAAATACTTTGAGTTTGGCTTGTATTCCCCCCTGAAAACATTTTAAAACCAGTAAAAGTGTAGGGGTATGAACTCACAGTTTGACGTAAGACCCGAGCGTAAGGTCGGTGTGAATGCTGAGTGTCAACTGATGTTTCGTACGCAAGTGGATCCTATTAACATATGATAATACATATATGCATTAGACGGGGACATAACACTATTTGTTATGGAAGGAAACCACCTTTGGGACTAGGAAAACACTTGAAACAAAGTGTTAGAATCACACGTGATTGATGGTGGGGAGTTTGCGGCCGTAATCAGGAGTATACGGTCAGGGGTTTGCGGCCCAACAGGGTTTACGGCCCACAAGTTTGCAGCCCAAGTGTTTGCGGTCCATGGGTTTACGGCCTATGGGTTTATGGCCCATGAGTTTTCGGTCGTAAACACTTGGTGAAAGGTGCGATTTTCGGTGTTTCAAGGTCCTTTCTAGCCTCTTGGAAGTGTTCTAAGCCTTGTGCCCAGCTCAAGGAAGAGCTTAAAGGCCAATAATCGACCAAAAAGGGAGTTTACGGCCATTGAAGGGATTACGGCCGTAAACTCATTTCGTGTTCATGATTTGGGTCGATTTTTAGGCGAAAATCGATGGTTTCTAGCGGATATCAAGTACATGTACAGATGGTAGTTACTTACTGTTAAGGAGCTTGGAATGTGGTTTTTAGCCACCAAGAACTAGTGTGTGTTCTTGGTGAGAGAGAAAATTTAGACAAAGATGAGATTTAATGAGATAGGAACATGGATTTACCACTAGATAGAGGAATGAAGCAACAATTAGAGGTGAAAAACACTTACCACTTGGAGATCTTGAAGAATTTTCGATGAAGGTAGAGAGAGAGAGTAGAGAGAGAAAGCCTTTAGAGTGCTTAAAGCTTGAAATGAAGGCCACTCATCCCTTATATAGGGGTGAGTTTACGGCCAAGGGGTGGGGGGTTTACGGCCGTGAACATGGTTTACGGTCGTAAACTGAGTTTGCGGCCGTAAACTCCTCTCGAAGGGGGTGTTTGGCCCGAATGCTATGCTTTGACTTAGAAACCTCGATTTTGAAACCAAAACTTAATTGGACCGAGCCTAGAATATTTAATTAAGCTCAAAATAATGACAGCAAGAGTAGAAATAAATTCCAGAATGATTTATTTTTAACGATTTTGAACGAAAGAAATTTCGGGTTGTCACAATGTATATATATATATATATATATATATATATATATATATATATATATATATATATATATATACTCATAATGTACCTTTGATCAAAAAGAACAATCTTTCGCAATCCAACTTTACATGAGTTAGATGATCGTGCTGTTTCCTCAAGAGAACCTCACTCACAAAGATTCCCAATGGCATCTACAATATAAGAAGAAATTACTTAAGATTTTGCAATCTAATAACAAACGTAGCACAACAATATTATCCTGTAAGATATTTGTCGTCACCAACACGTGAACTAAGCTCATTGAACGGAAATAAGTCAAATACATAACGTTGAAAGACTGTTGATGGCAAGTGGGAAGCAACAATTGACGTATCAGCAAGAAATTTAATAAATATGTCCTTACGTAGTGGCCGATATAATGATTGACAAGGTAAAACCGAGAATTTATATATCGTATAAACACATCCCTCTTGTACAACATTAGTAAACTTGCACATGAATGAACTTGCAATGGTTGCATGAATAGAAGAACCCTGTTAAATGGAAGTAATATCATAACATACAAAATCCATAGACTAATTCAAAGTCATAAATAGTTGATCAAATAAACTTACATTTTCATCACAAAGAATTAGATCTAAAGACAAAACACGATCTGTTGAAGGGTTGTATGTTTTCCACTTACGTGTGACCATCACATGTACTTGCAACTTATCAGTAATGTTAGGCCTCAAATCACTTATCATCAGATAATTGGAGATAATTGGAACTGATCGTCATGTTTTCCTATATACATATCCATAACATATTGCAATCAAACGATCGATATCCAACATAAATCAAAATTTCTAATAAATAAACTGACCAGAAGTTCGATTTATAACACCATCAGTGTGATCGTTAATCAGTGTCGTCAATAATCGATTATTACATACATCAACAACAAAATTAAAGAAAGACTAACCTTGCACGCACAAATTCTGTATACTATGAAATAAAAAAAGAAGCAATTACGTTTACCGATACCTGAAGGACAATATGCAGACGACAATAGTGATCGACAAGAGGTTGAAGACCCTGAACAATCGAATAAGTTGAAACATTAGAAGAGAACGTGGAGCTACCGATCGTTGGAAGTTAACAGCGGAGAAATAGGAATGAGGGATAAGTCGGATATATTCAATGGAGATAGACGATATCAATTAGGGTAAAACGTTAAGTATAAAAAATTATAATCAATTAAAAAAAATTAATAAATAAATAAATAAATAACTAAATTACATTAATAGCCCTAATAGAAGTATTAAAGCGATTGTAGTAGTTAATTTACTACCGAATGGTTGAAGTTAGTAAATGATGCATATATATATTTCCTTAAAAAATTATAGTTTTTTAATAAATCAAATATAATATATGATAATTTTGTATTAAAAAAAGGATGAAAAAACCATTACATGATTATTTTTATGAAAAACAAAAAAAAAAAAAAACATATTGTACCTTTTAAGAAATAAGCCTCTTCATGAACTTATGCATTTATGAACAAGATTATACCTATATCGGAACTTGCAATCCACTCATTCAATGTTGTTTATTCCATGTAATGGCAAATTATAGAAAACTTCTTTGTAAACAACATTCTTTGTCATATTGTTACCATACTTCCCGTTGTTGTCAATATAAAAGTAAAGACCAGCACGAGAGGTTACACGAGACGCTGTCACGTAAAGCTGACCATGCGAAAAAACAGGTTTCACCAAGAAAGCACATACATGATTAAACGTTTGCCCTTGACTTTTGTTGATTGTCATAGCGAAGCAAACTTTGACAGGAAATTGTCTTCTTTTAAATCTAAAAGGCCATGTTGTGTCCGATGCAGTCATATCAATCCTCCCAATTAATACTTTCTCTCCAATATGAGTACCGGTAATAATCACCGCCTCCAAAACCCTCCGACTAATTTGTGTGATGATCAACCGAGTCCCGTTGCACAAACCTCTTTGCAAATTTAAGTTACGTAACAAAATGATTGGTGCACCAACCTTTAAGTTTAACTTATGGTATGGAATTCCTGAAAACCACAACGTGTTAAGAAATTCTGAAGAATACATAATTTCCAATTCGGCAAAATTATCAGTACTTCGACAAATCTCATCAGCACTTAACATTTCATGCATGTCACCGGACATCTTACAAAGCACATGTAAATTGATCATGTCAACATCATCGTTTGTCGGGCAAAGAATGCATCGTTCCTTTATGTAAGAGATGTCGTTAACTAAACTCAAAATATCTGGGAATACAATGGATGTAACAACATCAATAGGATTATCAACAACGGGAATAAGAAGATCATCAGGTATAGTGATCCATGTACCATCGTCGTCACCTTCAACTGTACAAGTAGGAAGCCGACCAACACCCATATCAAGAATCCACTTACTAAATTCACACATTTTATAAGTTCATCGCCAGTAATGTTTTGATCAGACAAACGCATGTTAGTTGTCAAAACAAAAAAACGACATGAATTCCATAGACCTTCTGATTTGTTTATACAAGAGGATACAACATCAGAACGGGTTCCATGTTGAATAACAGGCAAAATTTGACGAAAATCACCCCCAAGAACTACCACTTTCCCTCCGAACACTTTGTTTTCACATCCAGCAACATAATAACGACATACATCACGAAATGCACGATCAACAGCTTCAAATGAATAACGATGTTGTAATGGAGCTTCGTCCCAAATAATCAGCTCAACAATATTAATCGACTCTGCGAGATCTGAGCCAACATCGATACCACAAGTTGAGTCTTTATCAATATCAATAGGAATATTAAACCTGGAATGCACTGTACGACCACCAGGTAATAACAAAGAAGCAATGCCAGATGACGCGACTGATAAAACAATCTTTCGATGCGATCGAATAGAAGAAATAATTGTTCTCCACAAATATGTTTTGCCTGTCCCTCCACAACCAGATACAAAATAAAAGCCACCTGTCTTTTCATTGACAGCATTAATTATAATAGTATAAACTTCTTTTTGTTGCACATTTAAACCACTGTAAAGCTCATTGAAAATCCTTATTTCTTCTTCGACATTGTATGTCCGCTCAACAACAATTAACCTATTCGAACCTATACTTAACAAACTATGGTTTAACTGAGGTAGATTGGGGAAATCAACCAACGAACGACAATTCCCATATAAAATATTATCGATATAAAGCAGAGTGTAGTTTACCAACTCATCATGCGAGAACATTAGATCTTCATTATCAAGCAATCTACGTTGATTATAAGCAACATCTTCTGATAAAAACGGGAAACAATCCCAAAAAAACATTTCTTGATCAGTAACACCACAAAATAACAAAATAATTACAAATAGTTCTCGAAGTTTCTTTCCTGACTGCCATTGGGAAGCCTCTCGGATTGAGTCAACCCATTCACCATCATCTCCTAATAACCTCAATGCTTTGCAAGCAGACATATAGGTCGGATGCTCAACACCATCAACAGTGCGAATATCTTTAAAACTGCAGGGTCCATGTACAACATTTAGTAGCATACGAAGATAATACCTTTCTCCTTCATTTGGATTTACAAAATATAACCGACCAATAACCAAACCATTTTTACGTGGCCTCCATTCCTTAACATCCCCTTTTTCATGCCATGTAAACTTCGTCGGGAAGTCTGAATAAGTTAACAAACGGGCTTCTGGATATAATTGATTTGCTCTCATCCATTCAGTAAACTTAGACACTGCAGATACCCTCATATCCAGAACTTCTGCAATATCATCATCTTCTCTAAAGTAAACTCTTTGACAATCCTCTTCATGAAATGGTAGTCTTTCTACTGCAACCGAGCGATACTGCATCTCAAAGCCCAACAATTTCCAACATGCTTCTGATATAGAAATGTAACGACAGTTAATATATTCTTCGATCTCATTCTCGTTGTGCAACATCGATATAAAAGATCGTGTTCTGTCTGGACCTTCCAAAACAGCAGTGGCACGATCATGGCCTTTATTAATGTAACTAAAAAGATACTTAATCAAACTGTCTTGGTTGCAATACTCAATATTTTATGACAACCATATTTGACAAGCAAATCGACATTATGAGGAACAACGTATCGGTTATCAAGCATGGTATCCTCATTACCAACATTAACTTTCGAACCATCGTTAGACCTTTTATAACAGGCCAACCATCACGCCTAATGAAAGTTTCATCGCAATATTCCTTAGGGTACCCTTTAGAACAACTTCCATTGTGCATACATGGACTTAAAGTGTTAAGCTGGCCACATGGACCATGCATCATGTGACTACGAACAGCTTCAAAAGCAACTGGGTCATTTTCCTGAGAAGGCAACTCTGCCGATACAAATTGATCAATCTTTTGGGTTGTGGTTATTTTATCTGGCGGATGAAGAAACACAAGACAATGACAATGTGGCAACCCACGTTTTTGGAACTCAATTGTGTAAATAACTGCATACACATATAATTAAAATTATACAGCAAAATAACATACATTAAAATTATAGACGAAAACAAATATATTAAGAAAACATATCGGCTTTTGTACGACCAAAATGATGTTTTTTCCTTATGTCATTCATCAGCTCATCAAGCTTAATCTTGAACATACGCGCAACAATGTCAGGTCTATCGGTACTTGGTTGACCAGGTACCATTTCTTGAATATGACGTTCAATTTCAGGCCATTTAGGGTTGCACGTCATCGTAACAAATAGATCCGGAGTTCCAGCCCAGCGGCATATGGCCATTGCATCCTGATATTGTTGTATCTTATGCCTCGGTCCACCATTGAATGATGATGGTAGTATAACTCGACGACCCACATATGAAGCACTTGTTTCGCCTCTACATAAACTATCAGTCAAACCATGATACAGCTCGGAACGAATAGTACTTTGGTTTCTCTTATACCATTCTAAATCATGTTCAAGCACTGTAGCATAAGCATCAACTATGAATGTATGAAACAAACGACCAACTTTATGTAGAGTTTTACCTTTATTTAACCGAAAATGCAAACGGAAACAATAATATTCCCTCAAGGTAACATTCTTTCCTTTGTATGATGTAGAATTACTCGATAAAGGGATACTTAAATGAAACCCATCCTCTCCATATGGGAAAAGTAACGGATACTGCAACGCCATAAAAGATGGATGCAGTTCACTTATCCTTCGCACGGTACCGTCACCACGATCCTCAATAAGTACATCACGACACTGTATAGGACTACCATCACCTGGAATCAATGCAGCTACTTCAAATACGGTTGGTAGATTATACTGTCTCCCGTCTTTGGTTCGGTTACCAATTAATCGAATCTTAACCGACTGTGTTGATGACTCATGCAGCCTATCTTTAGCCATACGAAATGCTTGAACCAATGAGTTATTCTTATCTAGCATAGATAGGAGTTCTTCAACCAACCGTCGAAGCATAGTTACATCTGACCTTGCAGGAACACAATTGCGTAACGCATAAAATCGATTGTCGATTTCATTTTCAGTATCATAAATGTACAACTGCGCAAATCTAGGACGTCCATCCTCGTGTGTAGGTAACAAAGTACCGATTCTATGTGATTATGTCCATTCAAATGAAATGTATACAGACCTCTACCATCGTTACCAATCGTATGTATCTTTCCTCCGGTTGACGTGAACGCAAACATACGATTTAAAAGCTTAATATTTTTTCTAAAAACTTTTGAACGTCGATAACAATTGTAATCCAGTAAGTTCCACAATAATTGAGGAGGTTGCATAAGCAAAGGCAATTTAATCTTCCCTTCACTGAGAATTTTGGAATGGATGGCGAATACGTTTCAATGGTGCGCTCCTCATACCATAATATAGCTTGACAGTGTATACATGTGCGGGTTGCATCACCACAATCCCAATACGACAAAATACGACCTAAAGAACATCAATTTAAAGGAATTAAATATAAGGAAATGAATTGCTATTACAAAGTTCGGAAATTGATTCATAAGTATTCAAGGATTACATTGAGAATGTATAATTTGTGATGCATTAGAAGACGAACTTCTTGCGTTATCCACAGTTGGTATGGACGAATGTACAACAGAGTTATTTGTTGTAATCCGATCATTCGAGTTAGGTGTTATAGTCGAATGTAATGAATTCCCACCAATATCAAAAGTTGTACGTGAAGTAATGATCCTATGAGGTGCTGGCCGATCAAAAGTGCGCATCTCTTCGTTGTTGAGAGGAGAGGCTAATAAAAAAAATTTATATAATATAAATGATACATATCCTTCATCGATGTAAGTAAGAGACACAACAAAAAATAAAGGAGACACACCAGACGAAGGTCTACCACGAGGTCGTCCTCTTAACCGAGGACGACCTCCCCGACTTGGTCTCCGGACTGGTAGTGCTTCAAAGGTATTAGAAGGTAAAGCAGTAGAACTTCTACCATTATCCAGACTATAAGTTCATACCATCGAATGTACAACTGAGTTATTAGTTGTACTTGGAGCATTGAAGTTACTCATTATAGTCGAATGAACTGGATTCCCGTCAATACCAATAGTTGTACTTGAAGAAATCATCCTATGAGGTGATGGCCGATTGGAAGCGCGCGTCACCTCGATGGTGACAGTACAGGCTAATATAAAATTATATAATGTAAATGATACATATGGTTGCTCGATGTAAGTAACTTACTTACAAACATAAATATACAAACCTTATGAGAATGTCATGCTAGGTACCGAATTTGAAGTAATAATATTCTCATTGACATGTATACTTCCATGTTGTGAATACCGATGAGCATTGTCACCAACAAAGTAAGAAGACACAACAAAAGACGGTCTCCTACGACGACACCTTGGGGAAGTAATATCGTCAATGCTACAATATGGAGGTCGTCCTCTTACCCTAGGACGACCTCCACGGCGTCGTCTCGTGACTTATTCAGCTTCAATAGTATCAGAAGGTAAAGCAATAGAAACATCAGTTGTTGATGGTAAATCAAAGTCACTTGAATGAAGAGATGTATTACCAAGACTATCCATTACAATATATCTGTTTCGATAACATATGATACATCATTAGATCCATAAAAGACAAATAACATATTGTTATGCTTTAACATAAACTCTATTAGCAATTAAAATCTATTAGTTGCATAATTGACTTTCTTTATTGTTTTTATGATCATTTTTTATGTTATAACATACATATGAAATTTGATTGTTATTTTTACAAAATATTAACTATTTTAAATTTAACCGAATAGCATTTTTTTTGGTTTCTCTATATCATTATAAGACAAACATAAGTTAAAGAAATTTGAAAATAAAACAATACTATAGACATATAAAGGTTCAAAAAAAATCTAATAAAAATAAACTAATAGCTAATCAAAGTAAAATTCTACTTTACTATTATACTAAATCTAAATATTGTGTGCTTCAAACATATCTGGTTTAAATGCAAGCTGCGTAAATTTTGTTGATACCAAAAGACACACTGCAAAAAAATATATATATATATATATATATATATATTACTATATAAAAAACTGTCATTTAATATTTTGAAAGACAATATATTGTATAATAATAAGGATAATATATTTTCTAACATACTTGATTGTAAGCGAACAAACTTGACCCGAGACGCAAAAATGATATATTTCATTGATATTGCATGATACGTTGGAACAATAAGCGAAGCACTTGTGTCATATAGCTTCATTTGAATTCTATGTCCCCTACAAATTATTTATAGTTTTTAATAAAACATTTGATTTTTCTATCATTTTACTTACAAAATACTTATGAAAAAATTTAATAAAAATATTTACTTACAATTCATCTTCCAAAAGTATTATAAACTCATCTTTGAATTTAATCCGTTTGTCCGACACAATTTTTCCAACAAAATGTACAAAAAATGAAAACATAACGTTATAACATATTTATATATATTTAATATATGTAATTGTTAATATGATCACAAAATAAGTATCGTTTTATATTTACCGATTATAAGTTTTCGAACAACACTGTCATGCACAACTGTTTTAATAGGAAACACTAATGGATATAAAGGAAATCCATTGTGAAAATCCACCTATATCGGAGTGAGTTTTGTCTTCTCATTGATAATAATCTTTAAATCACCATAAATGAAACAATAATTTTCATATCTCGGGTATTCATGGTAGTGAAACTTTTCTACTTGAAAAGACGATAAGGAAAAAAGACATCTCATCAAATGATCACCATATAAATGAAATAATTCTTCTGGGACAAAACCTGCCATTTTTTCTCTCTAAAAATATAAATTTAGTAAAACTTTATGAAAAATATAATATCAATATGAAAGATATATACCGACATTTTTTATCAATGAATATAACCAGTTTTCTTTTTCTCTCAATGTCGTGCCAGACAAAATGAACTCGAACAAATGATATCTTATACGAAACTCCAGTATATTGGAATCGAAGAGATTGAAAAACTTCAACATTGACATACCCATCCATTCTCTATAAACATTGGTAAGTTAAATTAAATAAAGCTTATGAAACGATAATCTAATATGACAAATATAATAATACGATGCCATTACATAATAAGATGTTATTTATGTATACATTTATAATTACAACTGTAAAAATCATTTTATAATAAATTTAGATTTCCTTTATTAGCTTTAAAATGTATTAGATCATATGATTAACAGCTTTCTTATTAATTTTGCAAACCCCAATGCAATACTTGTTAAACTTCATATTAGCACAATCCTAAATAAAAAAAAAAAAAAGTAAACCATAAAATCTATTAAACATGTTAATACTATTGACTAAGAAACAAAAGTTAAGATGATCTATTGTTTCAGAGAACTACATACCGAAAGAGAATTTGTTTGTGTTCACAGATATCATAAAGCAATAGATAACTTGTATAGCAAAACATCTTACATCAAAATAAATTAATACATAAATTCATCTACAATTTTACTCAAGAACAAACAAAATGTCGCAAAATAATACAATTTTGTTTTATGTAACACGTTTTATTTACCAACAAACCAACAAAACCAAAAAACATACTAAATAAAGTTGAAAACGCAATACAATATTTAAATGGTTAAACGATCCAACTTATCCAATTTCACAAAAATCATATAACTTTTGTGGTATATAACACTTAACAACATATAAACAAACATTAAAAAAAGAGAAAATAATAGATATTATGAAGTTGACACCTTGTATCACCCAAAGATGTGTTCCAAATTCAGAAAACCCGACTAATTGAAGCACAATGAAGAAACGTATGGAGACACAGAAGGTTTCGATGTTATAAAATGGACACAATTCATTTAATTCATTTAAATAGTAGGAATGATTGTGCAAAGCAAAATCGGGTGTAATGGATTATATAAGAAACGGTTATAGCCACTAACCCTCAACTTTAATAACATGGTTCCTACACTCCAATAACGTTGACAGTGAAAATTCCATTAGGGCCCTCAACCGTTTTTTTTTATTGATTTAACTAACCTTTAATTGAACAAATAATATTTCATTAGTGCCATTAACCGTTTTTTTTAATTGATTTAACTAACATTTAATTGAACAAATAACAGATAAAAAACAGCAAGAAAAAACCAACACGTATCATTTGACTTTTACTCATAAAATCTCTTACATTTCAAACCTTTCTACCTGCTTAATCGAATTAGTAAGTAAAATTTTGGTTAAATAACTTTTTTTATTATCTGTGTTTTATTCAACAAAAATCAAAATTACATATAAGGTAAAACACTAAAAATGCAATTAGGGGTAAAACAGGCCAAAAAAAATTAGACAGGAGGTGTAAAATGGTAGAGAATCTTTAAAACAAAATAGGAATCCATTATAATCGTACAAAAATATGACATGTATATTGATTTCAAGGATTCTAACTGCATTCACGTCATGATGAAATATTGAAAATTAGATATATGAAACGATTGTAAATCTCCAAGAAACGTTCAATAACAGTTAAACCACATATGTATTGTAAATAAAGTTAAAAGATTTAACTATTTAAGCAATGTACTTTCAAATATAGTATCATATTTTTAAAAAATTTATGCTATTTTTGTTATTCATATTTTATTTGCCAACCCACAAGCATTTCAATACAAATTGGGGAGGAGGGGTAAAATGGTCCAAAATCATAAAATATACAGGAGGGGTAAAATGGTCCAAAAGCATTAAAACGAATTAGGAATATGTTACAATAACAAAAAAAAACATATTTTTTTTATTGTAAATAAGAATTAAAATTTAAAGTATTATGCTATAACTTAAAGTATAATGCTTAAATAAGAAATATTAAACATAATTACATTTTTTATTATTTGTGTTTTTTACAACAAAAAATCAAAACGACCTGTAAGATAAAACACTGAAATTGCAAGAAGGGGTAAAACAGTCCAACATCAAAAATGATGGAGTAGGGGTAAAACGGTCCAAAATCATTAAAACGAAATAGGAATCCGTTATAATCGTACAAAAAGATTACATGTATTCTGATTTTATAGATTGTAAATGGTTTCGAGTCATAACGAAATAGGAATCCATTATAGTCGTACAAAAATATTACATGTATTTTGATTTTAAGGAATCTAACTGCATTCACGTCATGATGAAATATTGAAAAGTAGATATATAAAACAATTGTACATCTCCAACAAATGTATTGTAAATAAAGTTAAAAGATTGAACTATTTAAGCAATGTACTTTCAAATATAGCATAATTTTTTAAAAAAAATTATGGTATTTTTCTTATTCATATTTTATTTGACAACCCATAATCATTTCAATACAAATGGGGGAGGGGTAAAATGGTCCAAAATCAGAAAAGATGCAGGATGGGTAAAATTGTCCAAAATCATAAAAACGAATAACGAATATGTTACAATAACAAAAAAACATATTTTTTTATTGTAAATAAGATTTAAAATTTATATAAAACCTTTACATTTGTTCAATCAATATTTTTTTATAAACTTTTACATTTTTATAAATTGTTATAATATTTTTTTACATTTACAGGTTGAACATACATATTTCTTTAAAGATGATACAGGAATCAACTAATCTATTCAAAAACTAATCAAGATCCTTGCCATTCAACTGCATGAGCAACATCCATAGAAATGAAGAGTTGAGGAATTGAGCAACATTAAATTTTTCTAATTTCAGACAATAAAGTTAAGGCAAATAAGAAATCAATGATTGAAATGATAGCATTTACACTTGAAAGCTATAAAAACAAAAAGCTTATTATGAAAAGAGGGAGCAACTTAACGGTACTGACAGGGGCAATATAGGAATAACAGAAAAATGATAACATACCACCAATCTTTTTTGTTGCAAGAAATCATTCCTGACATAAAGCATGCAAAATCCCCAACTGTCACTTGATTCACCATATACCTAGGCTGCAAAAAATAAAACTACTTGAGTCATATGAGTTTTAGTTAGGAAGGAGGGTTGAATCTAGTATAAAGTGAAAATATTTCTTATTAGGGCCTTGTAAA